CCCCCAATTCCCAATTTCCAACCAATCATATTGTTTCTTACCCCTCAACCCCATAACCAATCAAGTTGACTCCAACACCATGTTGTCACCGCCACCATTCTGTTCTTTGTTCTGTGTTACCCAAAACCTACAAAAGAGCTCTCCTTTTGTTCAGGGTCTCTGGTTGGAAACTGAGGTCATCACTGCCCCTTTCATTGACAGGGATCAGGCCCCCATTAATAAAATGATACCTTGCTCAAGAGAAGCACACCTCAGTTTACCTTTTTGTTAAACTTCACTAGAGACAAGTCCCAAACAATAGATTTACAAATGAACTTTTGGAACACAAGCCCAAAGCAAGCTGGGAACTGGTTAAACAGTTCATTTTGAAGATCATCAGCTCCACTGAGAACTGAACCATAAGAGAAGCAAACCAGCTGCTGCTGACAAATGAAGATTTTCTGGCCACAGCTTCTAGCTCCGTGTGTGCCTCCTCTCAAGGCCCCTGATACACAGGGCCAACCAGCTACAGCAATCTCTTCTCCTTTGTGGTTCATTCACTCGTGGCTCTACTCAGACCTCCAAGCAGTGATCTGCAGGTCTCTAGCATAGGTGCCTCACTTCTGGAAGGAGTTCAATACAGGCTCCACCTTCCTCTCCATTCCAATGCCTATTCTCACACTCAGAAATTTCATTATACATGTCTATGGCCTCTTCCAGGACACCCAGGTCTCCCAGCTCCACAGCCTCTTTAATTTCTATGAACTAAAGCCTCACTTTACTGGCTAAGGACAGGGGATGGTCATCCCTTAGGTTCCATAATCATCCATAACTCTGTGACCTTCATGATCTTGAACTCTGAACACTTCTAAACCAATTCTTTGCCTTCACCATAATCTCCAGTCTATCTATTCCCATTTTCTGTTGTTCTGGTGTATTACTCCTGCTCAGCCATCATTTTCTCCCTCACAGACCTGATGCTGTAGGTGACCAGCTCAACTACACACTAGTTTAGGTAGGTAGGTGTAATGGATTAAGCTGGATTTGAAGTTGGGATAAACTGAGTTTAAATTCTGCCTTAGACACTTGACTGACCGTGTGATAGTGGACTTGTCACTTAACCTCTCTGGTCCTCAGGTTTCTCATATGAAAAATGAGGGCAGTACTAATGTCTACTTCACAGGGTTGTAAAGATCAAATGAGATAATATAGGTAAAATGCTTTGCAAACCTTAAAGGCCCATGTAAATGTTAGCTATTATACTGTACCCTTGAATCTTTTGCTCTGATGTCAAATTCCAAACCTGAGTTACTCTGTGCCTCCTCCTTTTGCTGTGCCAGCAAAAGCTGGCAACTGACAGGATATGAGGTAGAGAAGAAAGACTATAGAATGACTGTGGTTATAAGCATGAATGACTAGGACAGTAGTGGCCTTACAAAAATAATAGTTTGAGGAGGGGTGGGACCTGGAGGAAGTATAACAGATTTTCTTTTGGACAGGCTGCTTTTAGGATGCTGATGGGACAACTAGATGGCACAGTGGAGAGTGCCAGGCCCAGAGTCAGGAAGACCTGAATTCAAAAGTAGCCCCAGACATTTACTAGCTGCGTGACCCTCGGCAAGTCACTTAACCCTGTTTGCCTCAGTTCCTCATCTATAAATGACCTGGAAAAGGAAATTGCAAACCACTCCAGTATCTTGGTGAAGAAAAACTCAAATTGGGTCACAAAGAGTCGGACCCAACTGAACAACAAGGGACCTCCAGGTAGAGATGCCAGCTAAGTATCCAGTCAAATCTCACTCGTTTAAATATAAACTCTGTAAGCCTTTCACAGCCTAGATGTAACCTATCTTTCCAGATACACTGTACATTCCTTTACCTCCATCACTCACCTTAAATGCAGCCCAACTGGTCTCCTGGAGAAGGCCAATTTCTCTGTACCTTTCCACTAAGAGTCTGTCCCACAGGTTGGAATACACTTCCCTTTGCCTCAAGGAATTTCTCTTCTTTCAAGATGCAGTTCACATTCCATGTAAAGCCCTTCCTCATTACCTCAGCAGCTAATATTCTACTTCTCAAACTACCTAGTACTCAACTACTTTGTACTTTATTCCCTTCGTATTTATTTTGCGCCTGTTTATATATGTTCTCCTTTTCTTCCCCACTTGAAGGTACATTCCTCTCCAGTGGGGCTTGTTTCATTCATCATATTTCTATTCCCAAAAAGCTTCAGTGGCTACTGAGTCTAGGATAAAATATCAACTCCCAAAGCTAGTATTAAAAGCCTTCCACAATCTGACTCCCACCTACTCTTTCAATTCTGATTCCTATTATTGGACTGTGCCAGTCTACGTTCCAGCCACACTGGACTTCCTTTGTGGCCTTCTCCCAGGCCTAGACAATTCTCCTTCCATCCCTAGCTTCCTTCAAAGTTTAGGCTGGTGCTATCTCCTATTGGAAGCCCTTCCTGATTCCTTATAATCGATAGTACCATTTGTTCAGTTGAGTCCAACTCTTTGTAACTCCATTTGAGATTTTTCTTGGCAAAGATACTGGAGTGGCTGGAGTGGTTTCCCACTTTGCAGAAGAGGAAAGGAGGCAAATAGGGTTAAGTGACTTGAGGAGGACACACAGCTAGTAAGTGTATGAGGCCACATTTGAACTCAGGAAGAGGAATCTTCCTGATTCTGAGACTAGCATTCTATCCACTTCACCACCTAATTCTCTTGTAGTACAAAGTCTCTCCTCAAATTATATTCATTTTCTATGTAACTCTTATCATCCATCTCTCCCCATTTAAGCTCCCTGAGGGCAGGGCAGTTTCATTTTTTTATCTTAGTTCCCTCAGTACCCAGAAAAAATGCTTTGATTGTGGTAGATATTTTAATAAAGATTTATTTAATCAAATTGCATTGTTAGAAGGCTTTTTTTAAAAAAAGGTTTGAAAGGGAGCTTTCTTTGGGCCGGAATGGAACACTGCACCTAGCACTGAGGAGTGCAGCACACACTCTAGACAGGAACTTTCCTGGCAAATCTAGGATTGAAGTACAAGATTTTAGGAGTTCAGCTGAGCAACTTGTCTAGTAAAGATGTTACATTCAAGGGGAGATGCTTGAGAATTCACATAGAAAGGACATTCAAACCCTGAAGTACAAGAAGTTGTGTTATTCACTATTTAGCAACAGCTAGGATGGAGAAGAGAGAGAGCTAGGCCTAGAAGCACAAAGAGCTGAGTTCAAATATGATCTCAGTAATTTACTGGCTTCGTGACCTTGGCCAAAATCACTTAACCTCAGTCCTCCTTTCCTCAACTGCAAAAATGGGGATAACCCACAGGATAGTTTTTGCTGTCAAATGAGATAACTTGTAAAGAGAGTAGCTTGGTGCCTGGCATACAACAGGTGTTATACAAATGCTTATTCCCTTCCCTACTTACCTTTAAAGTTCACTCTTCTCAAGAGTGCTTTGTATATTTGCAGGAGAATAAACTCTGATGAGGGTGGGGGTTTTACATAATGACTGTACATGCTATGCCATATAGCTTATAGAGAGTAACGCCTTAGCTAAGAGCTGACGGAAATGTAGAGCCTAACTGTAAATGGAAGCACACCAGTGGGGGCTAGTGAGCTACAAAGTTAGAAGTACAGCTTTACAGCCTTATCCCTAGAAACTGAGATGGCAACTCCCTTCTTCCGAGGACTCAGCCAGCCAATGCAAACAGTAGGTTAGGGTACTAGATCCGAGACTCTACAAAGAACCTATTTGAAAAAATCAGGGAAATAGAATCATCTCATTTCCTACGGAGTCAGCCAACAAGCACTGAAGTGCTCATGACGCTCTAGCTGCGCTTAATCTCCAAAGAAGCACAATTATGGCTGCTGCCCTCAAGAAGGTCACTTTCTAAATGCGGGGCACCTCGAAGTGTTTAATAGGGATGGACATCTCCACCTCCAAGTGCCCCCTTACGGCTGGCAATGTTCTCAGGCCTGAGCTCCAGGCTGGGGCCCAGCATTTACCTATTTTATTTTTCTGCATAAGCAGCGGGCCCTCGGACCCAGGGTGATCCATTACTTTTGCCACAGTCACCGGGAATAGGGAAACTCCTGAGAATTGGACACACAGAAACCTGCTCGTTTTCCCGTTCTCATTCTGGGGGGGGGGGAATGCCATCGGGTTAAGGTCCGGGACCCCTGAGAGCCTCTTCACACCTCTCTTTCGGGGAGCCCAAAGCGAGCACAAGGGACCCCAGACCGGCGCGGAAGGGCCGAGGCCCACGGCGCAAATGCCATTCCGAATGGGGGAGGGGGGCAGCCGGGTTCCGAGGGGCCCGGGGACAGGGCCCCCCGTGGGGCGGGAGCGGCGAGGAACCACGTTCCCCGAAGGGAGGGGGCATTTTGAAGGGGAGAGGGAGGAGGAGGCCGGAAGGGGAAAGGGGGGGCGTGTGAAAGAGACCAGAAATGAAATCTACCCGAGTGATGGCCTTTGCTGCGGATCCTCATGGTGCCGGCTTTCATGGCAGCCGCGCCGCTGTCCACATGCTGGGGCCGGCTCCCGCGAGCCCCGCCGCTGCTCTAGCCGGGACGCCTGATGGGGCGGGAAGGGAGTGGGCCGAGGCGGCCGCCTCCGTTTCCGGGGCAGGCTGGGGGGCGGGGGCAGGGTCCAGTGCGCGCGAGCGAGCGGGGAAGGGGAGGGACCAGAGAAGGCTCGGGGAAGGGCGGTGCCTCGCAGGCCTCCGGCGGTTGAAGATTTGAAAACCTGTCAGTCATAAGAGCGGCGACCTCGAGCAGCCCCGCCTCTCCCGCCCGGCCTAGCCTGTCCCTGAAGGTGCGCTCCGCCCCCTCCCGCCTGAATTGCCATGCCCCCTTCCTCTCGCCCTCGTGGCACCGCCCCACGCCTCCCGGCCGGGTCTCCTCGGCAGGCTCTGGACTACGCCGCCCCGCCCCCTCTCGCCCGATTGGCCCCGCTTATTGCCCCGCCCCTCTCTCCCGATTGGCCCCGCTTATTGCCCCGCCCCCCTTTTTCCTCTTACAGGCTGCCGAGCCGGTGCCGGTCGTGAGGTGCTGCCCTGAAGAGGCTGCCGCGGTGGAGGGTCGCGGTGCCTCGGGAAGATTGGATGCGGTTAGCGGTGGAGGGCGGCGTCCCCCATCACCTGGGCCCTTCCCGCCTCCGAGGGCTGCCCTAGGCGGCCAGTGAGCCATAAGGTGAGTGCCCGCGCTCCGGACCTGACTGGACCAGCTTGGAGGGAGGCGGGGGCTTTGGGGGCATGAGCCGGCGGTGCGGACCGAGCCCGGGCCCGCTGCCCGGGGCCTACGGCCGCGCCCCCGAGGGAGGAGGGCCTGGCTCGGGAGACGCCGGACTACCGGAGTGGGTGAAAGGCGGAGCGCGGGCCTGGGGGGGGAGGTTGGGGTGTGGGCAGCCTTCCTAGCCCCCAGGCCTCCAGGCCCTTGTTTATCCCGGAGGCTCCGTGTTCTGAACTGTGGTGGTGGACTATCCTTAAAGTTGACCCACTCTCCCCTACTTTTTATCTTTTCTGAGCCTCCCCTTGGATAGTGCAGGTTTTATCCCTCCCCCTTCCCCCTCCCCTTGACAGATGATGTCAATGAGGCTGGCGGGGGGAAGGGAGGGAGGTCAGGAAGTGCCCGCAGGCACACCGACCGTCTGGGTCCCAGATGGGCTTTGCTTCCCCTGCTGAAGCCCCGGATGTACTCCAGGCACCCCCGGCCCTGGTCCCGAGTTCCAAGTTCCGATTCTGGCCGTCCAGGTGACCGCACAGGTCTCTAGCTCGAAATCGAAGACGCGCTCCCGATAGTTCTAGGGAATCGATGATCTCTTCCTGCCCAGCAGCTGGGCACGAGCGGCTGCTTGTGGGGTCCTAGGCTTTGTACCCACCGCGGGCTTTGCCCCCAGGCTGCTGCAGAGCTGGGAGGGACCTCCCCTCTTCTTTCCCACCATTCCAAGCCACGGCGCTGCTTCCTTACGGTTTTGGTTGAGTGTTGTGTTTGGGTTTTTTTGCATCTTAGGGTGATTCGGTGGGATCAAGTTTAACCACGTTTTATGGAATGGAACAGTTGAGGCACTGAAAGGTTAAACAGTACGGGGCATTACTTGGAGTCAACGAACATTTATTACGTGCCTGCTTTGTGAGTTCTCTGATGCAGGCTCTCTTTCAAATTATCCCCATTATATGATAAAAACAATTTAAGAGGGAGAACGGAGTAGTGGATAGAAGAGCCTGTTTTCAGGTTCAAACAATTTGGGTTCAAGTCCTACTTCTTACACAAACTGTGTGACCCTGAGCAGAAAATCCCTTAACCTCTCAGTGCTCCAGATAACTCTCTAAGGTCAGAAGTTGCAGAAGAGTTTCAGATCTTCGTGGAAGGAGCTTAGACATAGGAAGCTCACCATATGGAAAAGTCACTATTTCAGAACAAAAAAAAATACAAACTCTGTAAAACAATAGCTTACATTTGTAAAACACCTTAAGGTATAGCCCCTAATCATTTTATGCCTAGACTATTGGAACAGCTTTCTGGTTGGTCAACCTCAAGTCTCCCTACTCCAATCCATCTTCTACTTAAATATCGAATTTATCTTCCTAAGTGCAAATCTGACCGTGTCACCCCTGCTAGGTGGCACAGTGGCTAGAGCTCTGGTCATAGAGTCAGGAAGACATGAGTTCAGATTTAGCCTGAGACACTGACTAGCCCTGTGACCTTAGGCATATTGATAAACATCTGCCAATTTCAATTTCCTCACTGTAAAATGGGAATAATAATAGCACCTATCTCCCAGAGTTGTTGTGAGGATTGAACTCTTGGTAGGTACTTAACAAATCTATCCATTCTTCCTTACTCCTTCCTTTCCTTTCTTCTTCCTTCCTGCCTTCTTTATTTCTTTCCTTACTTCCCTTATTACCTATTATCTCCAAGATCAAATATAAAAACCTGTTTAGCTTTTAAAATGTTGTGTTTATTACCTGGTCCCTTCCAACAATGAGTGTTTTTGAAGGCTGTCCCATATGCATGGAGCTCTCTGCCTTCTAGCTTCGCTGGCTTCCTTCAGGTCTCAGCTAAATTCCCACCTTCTGTAAAGAACCTTTCCTAATCTTCCCTAATGGGTCAGACTATTTCCAGTTCATCTTGTCTATGTCTTGTTTGTACATTGTTGTTTATTGTTCTCCCTTGTTAGGGCACTGTGCTTAATAAATGCTTAGTTGACTAAGACTTCATCTGATTTGATCCCCACAACACTGAGGTAGGTAATGCAAGTATTATTATACTACCCTTTACATACAAGGAAACTGAATCTCAGAGTATTAAATAACTTTATCACAGACTCCTAAAGTACAAGTGTTTTGCTTTTTTTTCTCCAATTAGACTGTGTTGTTATCACTTAGACATGTCTGATTCCTAGGATCATGGCATGCCAGACCCCTTTCCACAGGGATTTCTTGGCAAAGATACTGGAGTAATTTGCAATTTCTTTCTCCTGTGGATCACCTTTTATCAGAACTCTCCACTATGACCTTCTTGGGTAATCATGCATGGCGTAGCTCATAGTTTCATTAAGCCTCTTTGCCACAACAAGGCAGTGATCAGGAAGGGATTAGACTATGTTGCCTGTGTATAAATAAAAAGACACTAAAAATACAAATATGTAGATATGTTTGCATGTCCTGGCCTGAGTGATAGGCTAAAGTTACATTATTTCCACTAACGTGGATCTGTTAAACATAACCTATTCTTTTAGACACACCCTAGACTGCACTGAGGGTGATAAAGTCTGCTTAATTAGGTAGTGCCAACTTGGTTAATGAAGTTTTGAGTGACAGTCCTCTTAGCTGCACTTGCTAAACAATCTATATCTATCTATCTATCTATCTATAGATAGATATAGATATATCTATAGATATAGATATATATAAAAAGAACGAATAAAATTGGGCTACAGTGGAGTTTGTAGCTTGTTTATAATTTGTTTTAGAAGTTTCATTAAAGACAGATGAGGGTTTGAAGTAAAAACTTAAGAAACAGACAAAGAAAGAGAAGGAGTTGTTTTCAGGGTTGGAGTTCCATCCTTAGCTTTGAAAGTCCTAGTTGTATTATCATGGGCAAGTTATTTAACACCTTTGAGCTTCAATTTTCTTATTTGTAAAATGGAGATTACAATATGTGCACAAGTTATATCGCAAGATTGTTATGAAGAAAGCACTTTGTGAACATTAAAGGAGGGCAGCTAGGTGGTAAGATAGAGCACCAGGCTTAGAGTCAGGAAGACCTGAGTTCAAATGTGGCTTCAGACACTTACCTAGGGACCTAGGGAAAGTCACTTAACTCTGTTTGCCTTAGCTTCCTCAACTGTAGAATAAGCTAGAGAAAGAAATGGCAAACCATTCCAGTAACCTTGCCAAGAAAACCTCAAATGGGGTCACAAAGAGTCAGATACTGAAATAATGGAACAATTGGGGTTGTTGGGGTGGGGATCCATTGAATCAATGACCCCACTTAAGAGTAATTATCTTCACCAAGTAAGAACTGTTAAAGACTTTACTAGATGGGAGAAGTCCTTAATCAGTTTAGAAGTCCTTTGGATTGATGTTGGGTAAGAAATAGATTTGAATTGGTTGAGGATTGGTCAAACCCCGTGGGGCTCACATAAAATCAGTGAGCCAATTTGGAATGGGACATTTGAATATCTGCCAGCATGAAGTTGGCACCTAGATGACTTAGTTGATAGAGCACTGGACCTGGAGTCAGGAAGACCTAGATTCAAATCCAGCCTCATAAACTTATTAGCTGTGTGATCTTGGCAAGTCACTTAACCGCTGTTTGCCTCAATCCGCTAGAGAAGGAAATGGCAAACCCTTCCAGTATCTTTGCAAAGAAAACCCCATGGACAGGGGGGAGGGTGTTGGTGGTGGTGGTGGTGAGAGAATGATTGAGGTGAGGAGAGCCCTGGCTATAGTCTCAATTTCATCCTCCATCCTCCCCTGGCTAAAGGAAGACTGAGTTTCCAAAGGTCTAGAGGATTTTGGACTTCCTGTCAGGCCCCTATAACAGTGTCTGCATTAGGGGCAGAGCCTAGACCAGATGTAATGAGGAAAGCCACATCCAAGGTTATACATTGTAGAGTCTACAAGGAGACTAGCAGAAAAAACATACTGTACCTAAGAGGGATGGATATCTTGAGGACTCCAGCAAAAGGACTTCCAGGAACTGTGAGTAGACTCTTGGCCACTTGTGCTCTAATCTAGGGCCCATTTTTCCTCCCAGTGCTTTGACCAAGAATAATCAAGGGTGGAAGAGGGCGGAGGTGTTGAAAGTGAAATGCCATGTTCACTGGGGCCCTGAGACCTGCCATTAACTGATCTAGGACATGTGGGTGGTGGAGTGGAGGGGAGTGGGCTGAAGACTACTATGCTGTGATCTAAGACAATCTAAGGGGAGGACAGAAACGTGCTTGAGATTCTTGGTTACAAACACAGCAAGGGAAGTGGAAGCTGTCACTAGGGGCCTAGTAAATTGATGTCAGAGCCAAGGAAGCCTTGACCATGCTACCCAGTAAAGCAGGGAAGGGTCGAGCCTGATCTTGGCACAAAGTTCTAAAACAGTGCCCTAGACTAGAGATAGTAATAAACAGAGGAAGACTGACAAACTTAGCCAAGTAGCAGACTCCATGAATGTTTGAATAAAGCAAACGAATCAATAACCACAGAAGAAAACAATAAATATTATGACAAAAGACTGAAAAAAAGGAGGAAAAAAAGGAATGCATTTAGTATCAAAAATAATTGGCTTGGAAAATAGATCAAGAAGAATTTAAGAATCATCAAACATCTGCCTTTTTTGGCTAAAGTTTCACCTGCCAGAAACTCAGTCTTAGTGCCTGCCCTCTGAAATTATTCTCAATTAGTCCTGTATATATCTTGTTTTCACGTCATTTTTTGTTGTTGTTGTCTCTCACATTAGACTTTGACCTCCTTGAGAGCAGAGAGCAGAGACTTTTTGCCTTTCTTTGTATCCCCAATGCTTAGCAAAGTTCCTGGAATGTATTAAGTACTTAATAAATGCTTATTGACGGACTTTCTGAAAATAATGAACAGAAAAATCCAGATAACATATTTCAAAGAATCATAAATGGAAACTGCCTATATCTGTTGGAACCCTAGGACTAAGTGAAAACAGAAGGAATCTATTAGTAA